TTGGCCCCCCCCCTCCCCGCACCAGCCGTGGCCCGTGGCCTTGAGGGACGGGAGGCCCAGGCAGGTCTGCAGGCTGCTCTTGTGTCCTGCCGGTGCGATGGCATCGTGCACTCTGATCCATGCTGGGATGTCCCTTTCCCTTCTCTGGGTGCCAGCCGGTGAAGAAGAGGGGCTGGCCCAAGGGCAAGAAGAGGAAGAAGATTCTTCCCAATGGCCCCAAAGCTCCTGTGACGGGTTACGTGCGTTTCCTGAACGAGCGGCGTGAGCAGATCCGCACCCAGCATCCTGATCTGCCCTTCCCAGAGATCACCAAGATGCTGGGGGCTGAGTGGAGCAAGCTGCAGCTGTCGGAGAAGCAGGTACCGGCCCCTAGGAGAGACCCGCCCAGGGCTGGGCAGCACGCTTCACAGCCTGCACCCCAGGCTCCTTTGCTTGCTGCCTGTCCGCAGCTCCACGAAGGGAGCTTGTCCCCATGCTGGTGGGCTGGTGAGCAGGAGCTGGGCTTCAAGTAGTGGGGAGGGGTCAGCAACCCCCAAGGGAGCCTGGGACGGGCCAGGCTGAGGACCCTCTGTGACCACAGCGGTACCTGGATGAAGCGGAGCGGGAGAAGCAGCAGTACATGAAGGAGCTGCGGGAATACCAGCAGTCAGAGGCTTACAAGATGTGCACGGAGAAGATTCAGGAGAAAAAGATCAAAAAAGGTGAGTGGTGGGAGCAGCGGCTGCCAGCCAAGCGCTGCCAGAACCTCTTGAGGTGTCCTGCGCTGGCTCCTCAGGTAACCTCCTTCCTCCTTTCCAGAGGACACAGGCTCTGTGGCGGTGAACACGCTGCTGAACGGGCACCCGCACAAGGTAAGGCCCCAGCAGGTCTACCTGTGTGTGGGGAAACTGAGGCACATGGCACTGCTGGGCTCAGCCGGTGGGAACCGGGCTCTGCAGGTTGGGGCAGAGTGAGACTCAGGCTGTTCTTCAGGGCACCAGCTTCCCCTTGAAGCAGAACCTGGAGTGGCAGGGTGCGGAGCGCAGCCATCCTCTGCCTGTCCTCCCTGGGCAGGGCCACCCCCTGCCCCATCCCCATGCCTCCTTTCTGCCCAGCCCCAAAGAGACAGGGTCCCCTTCAGTGGGCTCAGCCCTGCCTGATCCGTCCCCTCCTGTCCCCAGGCTGGCGAGTGCAGCGACACCTTCTCCACCTTTGACGTTCCCATCTTCACAGAGGAGTTCTTGGACCAAAACAAAGGTGAGGGGCTGGGGTGGGGGCTGCTGGTGCTGGAGCATCTTTCGGGGGGACGGCTGCAGCAAGCGGTGGCGCTGCCAGAGCAGCCTGCATCCCGCGGAGCAGGGACCTCAGCTGGTGCTAGGTGCAAGATCCCATCTGGGAAAGGTCCTGGTGAGGCTGGATGGAGGGGCCAGATCCTGGCTGGAGCCCAGGGATTGATGTTGAGCCTTTTGGAGGAGTTGTAGCTGGGGAGGGAGTTGTGTTTGGGTTGGGGGGGGAGAGACAGAGGGACCACCCCACCTGACGTTGTGTGATCCCTGCAGCCCGGGAGGCTGAGCTGCGGCGCCTGCGGAAGATGAACACGGAATTTGAGGAGCAGAATGCCATCCTGCAGAAGCACACGGAGAGCATGAACTGCGCCAAGGAGAAGCTGGAGCAAGAGCTGGCCCAGGAGGAGAGGCAGACCCTGGCCTTGCAGCAGCAGCTCCAGTCCGTGCGGCAGGCCCTCACCGCCAGCTTCGCCTCCCTCCCCATCCCTGGGGGGCAGCCGTGGGGACCAGCCAACTGCTGGGACCTGGTGCCCGTGCGGAGGGGCACTGCTGGGTGGTACAAGTGGGGGCAGTGGGGTGATGATAAATCCTCATCCGCTGGTGGGGTGGGATCCTGGAACACTCTGGGGGGCTCTCTGGGGAGCCCAGGGATGTGGCGGCCGGTTGACTTCCTCATGATGGCGTAAGGCAGGCTGGGAACTGTCCTCCCGAGCCACGGTCACAGCTGTGCCCACAAAGCAGAGATTAGCCCCGATCCTTTCTGTTCCTGGGCTTGTGTAAAAAATCTTGTGCTGCAGGAGATGGCACCCACTGTTCAGGGTCCCTTCCCCAGTCAGCAGCACGCTGAGCGGGGCTGGCTGGGGGCTGGCTGGCCCTGCTGACAGAGCTGCCACCTCCCAGGCACGGGGGAAACCCCCACGCTGAGCACTCTGGATTTCTACATGGCCAAGCTGCACAGCACCATCGAGAGCAACCCGCTGCAGCATGAGAAGCTGGTCGTGCGCATCAAGGAGATCCTGTCGCGGATAGCCAGGTGAGCGGGGCAGGGCTGGCCAGAGCTGTGCCCAAGGGCTGCCCTGTCCTGGGGAGCTAGGGGGACCACTGGGTCAGCCCGTGGCAGGGGGTTACAGAAGCTGAGCAGGGGAGGGTGCTGGCAGAGAGTGGCTTGGAGCTGCTCCAGGCAGTTGTGGGAGAGAGAAGCCACCCCTTGTAATTCAGCCTTGCTTCCCTCCCTCTTCAGTGAACACTTGTGAAGAGGACCAGTCCCTGCTGGAGCCCAGGGCCGGCCGGACCACAGCCCTGTACCTTGGAGCGCG